AACACTCGGGAATTGCCGCCCGGTCGTTATAATGCAAGCACATCCTTAATAGAAGTAACCTTCAGAGTCCTTTAGAGAACAAGGATAGGATGTGTAACAACTGCACCACCTCTTAATATCTGTTCGGTTTGGAAATGCATAAAGTAGTGAATAAATAATCCATCCTAATTCATTTTCGCCAGTTTCTTGGCTGCTCCTGTTTCAAAATTCAGCCCATCCTCTTTCTAAAGTTACCTATAGTTTTACTGTTCATTTGCTGGTAAGTGATTACGCCATTTCTGCTTGATAATTTTTCTGTACCCTAGGATTGAATTGCACACTGCTTCCTTGTGTTGTGGAAGTTTGCTAGATAATGGATGTTTCACGGGAATCGGAAGCGTCGGAATAAAGTCTTAGTTCACGTCCAAAACTAGTTGCAAAACTGAGGCGATTTATGCGCTTGGCGTGTATTGAAATATTAGTCTATGAAAAATACAGATTCAATTTTTGACTATTGTTTTTACGCACACCAATTGTGTAGTAGTGTGACTTGAATGAATTTACGTAACTGCATCAAAATGAATTTCTTTACTGTTAATTAGTGAATTTGTGAAATAAGATTTGCTGACTTCATTTTCTTCGAAGCTCTGGGCTATCTGCGATTCTCTTTCGTGTGGCGACTCGGCGTTTGGAAGCGAACTTATTTTATGACTATGCCTTGAGTACAATACCGGATAAAACGGATGGGTCGATGCTTAATTTCTCTCCTACGATTGCGTGACGAATAGTGAGTTGTACTTGTTGCACATAGGAATTAGTATCGCCTAGATAAAATTGAATATCAAATTATTTATCGAGATTGATCTATGAGAGAATTGCTCCCCGGATCTCCTGACACCGTGAAAGGTTACAAAATTTCGGAACGGTTTTTCCACATCGCCTCAACTGAATTGACTCACGTGAACATTTATGCACTGATTGGCGCTGGCCAATGGAGAGTACTATCTGGCCGTGCCATTGTTCAGTAGAGAATCCAAGGTCAAGTATCTAGAAATTTTCTACATGGTTAGGCAGTAGTTTTTGGTCATATTAGAAGTGTGTTTATGTGACTGAACGCTGTTTGAGACTCGTTGACCAGCGCGATTTTTCATGGCGCAAACGATCATCTGATATTTCTGGCAACACGCCCGTGATTTAGCACGACCGCGGTTTTTCAGAAGCTGTTTATTTTGTATGAAAATATGTTTGTCCAGCCACACCTGAACACATATTCTTTACATTCAACAGAACCAGCTTCAAGATTTGTTACGATTCAACGCCGCGTCGAATTTTTGGCAGACAGGCACGTAAGGGAGCTGAAACGACCGGAATTCACTTCGGTATGTTTAAGTTTTAGAAATTTCTATAATGAGCATATACAGAGCACCAGGAACGGAACGACTGTTCATTGTTTACGGTCTAGAGAGCCAGAAACAACTGAAGTACAGTATCGCATGAGAGGGAATAGTACCCCTGGCGCAGTACAGCGTCGGAGAATATCGAATCGAATCACCGGAACAATGTATACTCGTGGGGTTTGAATGTCTTTCATGATCCCTACAGCAGTCAGCTGACAAACATCTGATATCCAACGTTGACAATTCTCTATGACTTTTCGTGTCGTTCTGTACAAAAGAACAATGCTGAAAGCAGATCGTAAAACCGTATTGGGAGTTAGCTTCGCAATTATTTCCCGAGAAAGTTCTGATTAAATATTTTCATCTGGCTGTCTACTCTCTCAACAGCGAAGCCCCACTTACGGACAGTTAGAATGAAAATGAGGAAAGCGTATAAAATAGAAGATCTGAGAAAGTGAAGGGACAACAATTTTTTCGCAGCTTCAGTGGTTCAAATCCAGTAAAACCGAAATAGCACCTTAACGAAAGTTATCTATTCATTTCGTAATCCGTTAGACGCTGGCTTGCATAATCCGTTGGATGAATGTTAGCTGACATTTATCATCATTGAACACTTTGCGAATAACACCTACGTAACCATACTTATTTCATCCGGAGTAAACGAACGTATCTAACGGGTTAAAATAATTTATCAGGCCTTAAAGTCATATCGGCTACAAAGTTATCAGCTATATGATTAGTGATAAATTCATCGACCTGATCAGTGTCTAGAAATTGAAAGAGTTGATAACAGTATATCCCGTGCACCCGTGTTTTCCAGTTTACCGTTGAGTATAATATTCTACTGGTCTCTCGAGTGACTGGATCAATTTTGGCTTGGTCGAGAATGATGTGTCATCATCTTAAGTGACGAGCTGCAAAGGACGACATGCTGCGACATCGCTGATCCATCTGTGACATGATTGAAAAGCTTGTTGCTCTTCGAGCATACGATCTTAGAATGTCTTGGTTAGATCATTTATTAGAAGCCAGTTTCCTTACTTGCTCCGTAGCTGTTAACATGGGAGCCAAAACACGATGACGAAAGATCAGTGCTGAATAGGCCATATGGCTGCAGAAACTAAGCAGGAGTCTTATCTCCGTAATAAATTTTTCTTTCGCTAATAAACAGTAAAGATATCGCAATATCAAAGTTCAAAACGCTTAGTTGTGAGGCGAACAGCAATCTGATATATGCGATATCTTCATAAATGAATGCAGTTATAATAGTAAAATAGAGAGCAACGAGTTTTATTCTTCTTGCGTGTGCGTAACATATCGGAGAAGAATCGATGTTTCAAGCATTGAAGCTGTTTGCCGATGCGAAGCTCGTACCTAAGCTGTCGTCTACACAGAAGCGATCCTATGGCCGCAGCTGTCAGCGTCGTCGTTCTACTTTCGAGGACCACTGGGTTCGTCGTCGTCTGGGTGTTCTTAATATAGTAATAAGTGCTCGTGTTTTCGTTGTCGCAGTCCCAGTGACAACGAAAACCGCTAGTTTCGACGCTTTTCGACGTTGCCTTATATAAGTCAATAAGTCAATCGGATGACGGGGGCGAC